GAAAAAGATTTTTTTATTATAGGGGACAGCTAGCTTTCATAAACCTAGAAGTCCCTTAGTTTTTTTTGATTTCCCCAAAAACTAAAGGAGCACCTAATTTTTAATTAGTAGCCCTAATTAGCACCTAAAAAGCACCTAATTATTATTATTATATAGACCCCGAATTTTTTTTCTATCTGACACATCACCAAGTAAAAGTGAAGCCAACAATTTCCTTATGAGGAAAAAAATCTGTAATTCAGTTAATAATTAACTGATTCAAGTTTTTCTTCGACTATTTAGGAGCACTTAAATAGCACCTAATTCAAGAAAATTTACAATAGGGGACTGCTACAATCATAAACCTGGCAGTCCCTTAGTTTTTCTTGATTTTCTCAAAAACTAAAGCAGCACCTAATTTTCATTTAGAGGCCCTAAAAGGCCCCTAGATATTATATAGATCCCGAAGTTTTTTTTTCCATTCTGACACACCAACAAGTAAACGCATAGCCAGCAGTCCCCTAATAATTAAAAAAAAAATCTGTAACTCAGTTAATAATTAATCAATTCTATTTTTTCTTGGACTATTTAGGAGCACCTAAAAAGCACCTAATTCTGATACAAAGAAAAAATTTGAAAAAATATTTTTCACTATAGGGGACTGCTAGCTTTTATAAACCTAGCAGTCCCTTAGTTTTTTTTGATTTTCTCAAAAACTAAAGAAGCACCTAATTTTTAATTAGAGGCCCTAATTAGCACCCAAAAAGCACCTAATTATTATATAGTTCCTGAAGTTTTTTTCCACCTTGGGACTGCAAGGTTTATAGACCTCTAAATACAATAGCTTAAGTAACCAGCAACTGTTTTAATAGAACTCCTTTAATGTTTAATAGTAATCTAATTTATGAATTGTCTTGTATGGATTGTCAGGGCAGTTATATTGGCCAAACTGCTCGTTGGTTAAGGCAGCGCATGATTCAACATGAAAGCGATTGACTATTAGGGGAAAATACGTGTGCCACTGTTGAACATTATTTAAAAACAGGACATAAATTTGACTTTGTTAATGTGAAAATATTGGAACATGAATCTGAATCTGATTAAAATAGCCGATGGTTTTTGGAGATGTGTTACATAAATAGGAACCAGAGCGCGCACTCCGTAACTCAAATAATTTTAGAAATAGAGAGAAATGGAAAGAAGAGGAAATTTCTTTCTCTTAACTTAACCTACTCCCTATGGCCGTTTCCAAATCCATTCGGAAACATTCGTTTGTTGAAAATTACATACAATAGATTCTGAAAACATAGGGTTTTGTTTTGATTTTGTATGACGTATGACAAACGACATTGTCAGTATTATCAAAATTTGTAGAAAATAGTGAAAATATATTAAAAAAGTTCTTTTTATCTTAAATCGTATAGTTATTTTAAAGTTTGTACAGTTTGTAGTGCAGAGTTATTTATTTGGTAATTGTTTAGTATATCCCCAACACCCAATTTGGACTAAATTTTGTACGATATGATTAAATTAGTGTCTAAATAGATAATTTCTACTAAAATGATTTGGCGCAAATGATTCAAAAATCTAAAAAAAAAATACGTTGATTTAAAATATACGTTGGGGATTTATTAAATTTTTACCCCCACTAAATATTTAGCATATCCCCAACACCTAACATTGACATAATTCCGAAGACTAGCAGGCATCGGCATTACGGGGACAGGTTAATTTGGGTTAGTTTGCATCATTTTAATTAATGGGCTAGCCAGTTTAGAGATTTTCTACTGTTAGGTCTGTTAGAGATAGAGCTGGAGCAGTTCGAGCTCAGTAAAGAGATGTTCACAATTCAAGATATCATAATAGTTATTTATGTATCAAGGGTACTAAGTAGATGATTATGCCCTGAGGGCGACAGTCTTACAAAGCCGAGGGCCTCTGGCCCGAGGGTTCGTAAGTCGCCCGAGGGTTTATATATCTATTAGTACCCGTGGTGCATACAAACTTTTATGTCATACCAGTTGGTTGTTTAAAATAAATACCTGGGAAAAAAGTGTCACTTCGCAAATTGTCATCAGTGTGCAAACATCATTATTTTTTGACAAAAATAATATGTTTATAAGCGTAAATTTATATTTTGGTAATAAAGAATAAGTTAATTGAAAACTGTTTTTTACGTCTTTATGCCCGCGCGGGCCATAATGTGTACTTTATGCCCGCACGGGCATAAAGTAATCAATTATGTAGATGGTATCTAAGGTATAAAAACACAATAATGTATTGGTATGACATAAAAAATATTGTAGCAGCAATTTCTACATAGTCATAGGTCATAAAGTGAGCCAAGTGAGCTTTGTACTGACGTTCCAAATAATTTGACATCAGTAAGTGGTTTCTGAGTTTGTATTTTTTTTGAAAATTATGGCTTGTGGTGGTTGTAATTCAAATCAATTTTTTTTAACTAGCTAAGCGGCACGAGGCAACAATGTTAGGTGTTGGGGATATACTAAATATTTAGTTAGGGATAATTATTTAATAAATCCCCAACATATATTTCATATTAACAATTTTTTTAAAATTTTATATCATCATTTGCACCCAATGATTTCAGTTGAAACTATCTATTTAGACGCTAATTTGATCATATTGTACAAAACTCATTCAAAGGTAGGTGTTGGGGATATACAGTGAGGACATAAAGTCCGTCGCCCCCCCTCTAACTTTTGAACCGCTCGGTATATTGCAACGAAATTTGGAATGATGATATGTGAGCAAATTTTTCATTTTTTGAAATGCAAATGACAGCTTCAGCTGTCAAAGTGACAGCTGAGCGCAGTTTTGTAACATTTTTTTAAATAGAAGGCGGTGTCGAGTGATATATCGTTTTGAAGATCTCTTTATTCTTAACTTAATCCCCGATTCTGAAAACATTTGGTTAAGTTGTTTCCAAATGATGGCGAAACAAAAAAGGCTTGTTCTGGTCATAATTTTTTTTTTTTAGTAATTGAATAATTATTTTATGAATACTATTGTTATTTTTTCAAGTTACCAATGTCATTACGTCATTATTTATTACTAAAAAAAAAACAATAATGAGTAAAAAACCGATAATTTTTTTTAAAAATTTTTTTCTTATGAGTGTTTATGAGCAAAACAAGCCTTTGTTTTTTCGTCATCATTTGAAAACCGCTAAACCAAATGTTTCCAGAATCGAGGATTAAATTAAGAATAAAGAGACCTTCAAAACGATATATCACTCGACACCGCCTTCTATTTAAAAAAACGCTTCAAAACTCCGCCCAGCTGTCACTTTGACAACTGAAGCTGTCATTTGCATTTCAAAAAATGGAAAATTTGCTCACATATCATCATTCCAAATTTCGTTGCAATATACCGAACGGTTCAAAAGTTAGACGGGGGGCGACGGACTTTATGTCCTCACTGTATGAAACTGTTACTTGGGGGAAATTATTTAATAAATCCTCGACAATTATTTCATATAAACATATTTTTTTTCTTATTTATAAACCATTAGCGCCAAATATTTTTAGTTGAAGTTATCTATTTAGACACTTATTTAATCATATTTTACAAGATTATTTCAAAATTAAGTGTTGGGGATATATGAAACTGTTACCATTTATTTAACTATTAACTTGGATCTCCAAGGATGGATCCACTATTTATGCATTTTGTGGAAGAATTGGAGGAAGAAGAACGCCGGGAAGAACTAAGGCTAGAGAGAAGACGCTTGCGAGACCAAACTAATGTTTTTGAACTTCCCGAAAAGGAGTTTAGAAGCTGTTTTAGACTGAGCAAGGACTTGGCAAGAAGTCTTATTGAAGAGCTCACTCCGCACATGGCTCCTGGAAATCGGAATACAAAAATACCAGTGGAGACAAGAATTATGGCTGCTCTCAGGTTTTTTGCCCATGGATCCTACCAGCGATCTGTAGGGAATAAAGCCAATATTGCCATGGCTCAGCAGACTTTTAGCAGGGTTTTGTCTGAGGTTTGTACAGCCCTAGAAGCTATTGCTCCTCATTGGATTCAGTTTCCAGAGGACCAAAGAGACAAAGCCCAAAAAAAATTGATTTTATGGATAGTTTTGGAATGCCTGGGACAATAGGGTGTATTGATTGCACCCATATAGCCATCGCTGAACCAGTAGAGGACGAACATTTGTATTTCAACCGAAAGGGGTACCATTCGAAGAATGTGCAGTTGATTTGTGACACCAATTTACTAATTTTGAATGTAAAGGCAAATTATGGAGGTGCTACGCATGATGCATTTGTTTGGAGAAACTCTGCCATCAAACAACATCTCGAAGATAACTACAATAGAGGAGACAGAAATAGTTGGCTGAATGGTGATAGTTGCTACCCTCAAGAGCCTTGGTTAATGACACCAATCAGAGGTATGCCAGCTGATTCTCCTGAAGGGAGGTATACTGCTGCTTTGACAAGGGCAAGGAATTGCATTGAGAGATGTATTGGTATCAACACTGTTTTTCTTAATTTCAATTTATAATTTTTTTTGCTTTGCTGGGACCTCCACCGGTTTTTTGTATTGCAATTTTCATTGCTGCAGCCTTTGCTTTCGTCTTTGATTTCCAACGTGCGATTGCCTGAGAACAATTTGAAATTGGTTTAGTACAATATTTATAATAATTTAATTTTTTTTAGGATGTTTAAAAAATAGATTCCGTTGCCTCTTGAAAGAAAGGGTTCTAAAGTACCAACCATTCAAAGCTGGCCAAATTATTATTGGGGCATGTGTCTTGCACAATATGTGTGTAAGAGCCAATTTAGAAACGGAAGATAACATTGATGATAATAATCGAGACCAAGACAATGATGAACCTATATTAGGAGGAAATGATCTACCAGCACTAATGGTGGAAAAGATTTTGTTCCATCTCTGAGGACCTCTACCTCATTCTGAACTGACGTTTTGTCTCTGGCGAGTTTTCTCTCTGCCACAGGTAATTTCTAAAAGTAAAATAATAATCTTGACATTCATTCATTAAAATTCAACTAAAATAAAAACAAAATTTCCAATTGCTAAATATTATCATTCAAAACTATAATTTATTGAAACTTTTTTTTTTAAACCATTTTGGTGTCTGCTTTTTTCTCCCTACAGAACAGTAGTTATAATAAAATCAAAATTTTTACCAGCCCTATCTCTATATTTTCATCCCCAGTGACCGATTTCCAATCCAACAAACACATCAATCTCTCTTCGATGGGATTTAACTGAGGGGTTTTGCTGGGACCTCCACCGGTTTTTTGTATTGCAATTTTCATTGCTGCAGCCTTTGCTTTCGTCTTTGATTTCCAACGTGCGATTGCCTGAGAACAATTTGAAATTGGTTTAGTACAATATTTTGGGGTGTTTTAATATAACTTCTTACCAATTGCCATTTCTCGACAGATCGACTGCCAAATCCCATGGAATTTAGAAATGTGGCTAAATCATCCCACTTTTTTTTCAGCTCTCTATTATCGCAATCATAGTTTTCGAATTTGCTTCTGACCAAAATAGGGTTTTGCTCTAAATAATCAATTATTACCTTCCACTGTTCCACATTGGTTCTAACATTTCGATCATTTCCATCTAAAAAAAAAGTATTACAAAAATGCTGTAGCCGAAGTAGAATATATACGTACCCATTGTGTAAATAAATTCAGCAAAGCCTTAATTAGTTTAAACAGTATCACAGTATCAAAACTATCAAAAACAAACAAATATTTATTTGGTTATGTTATAAAAATCGAATCCTCAATCCTCAGTCTAGAAAAAGATAGGTAGGTGATTTTTCAAACATCAAACTGAAGCAAAACAGAGAAAGAAGATATGGGAAATGGCGAAGAAACAAGCCAAATGACGTTTCCTATTCTCAAATCCCGAATACACCCTTCGGAGAACGAGCGCTGCCGATCAAAGCTTAGAGAGTGCATTCTTCTTTTTTTTCCAAGGTAGAAAGAAATTTCCTTTCCAAACTAGTTACGGAGTACGCGCCCTGAGCTCAATAAATTCCAAATTGGATACCTATAAATTGAGTCTCTAACATTTACTGTAATATTTTGAAAAGATTAGAATGATCAATAATCTACCTTAATATTCCAGTTAATATCTAAGTGTTAATTTTATAAATTTTGGTCATAGTCGAACATTTGAACTGCTAAGTAACTATGATGTTGATTTTATATTTTCACTGTAACTTTTCAATTGTAATGTGTTTGCTAACTTTTGTTGTGTGACTCTGAGCATTGTAAGTATTTCCTGTTTCTCCTCTTGGATATTAACGTTGTTTTGCTTCCTTTCATCAACTTTTTAGTACTCCTGATGAAGTCGAAATTAAATTGACGAAATATTTGGTAAGAGCATCGAGGCTTTTTTTCCACACAGACCGCTTCCAGAAATCTAGATTTCTCTATTATATGTATAAAAATATTTATTTTAATTTTTTCTTTCCTTTCCTTTATTGCACACGTTTAGATAGCAGTTACCAGGCTCATAGAATAAACAACCTGTGAACACTCAGCATAAACCTTGAAAACATACGATCAGCAGATTTCGAGAATTCAGATAAGCAGTTCTCAAAAACCGAATAAACATTTTGTAGCAGAGAAATCATGCCATGGTGCGATAAATAAGTCCTAACAAGTCTGTAGCCAATCAGCTTTCGGTAGAGATAAGGTTTTAAGGGCCCCATACACTACGGTGAAACACGACGTGTTTCCTCGCGGCGGTGAAAACCGTCGTGTTTCACCGTAGTGTATGGGGCCCTTTAAGCGATTGAGTTACTGAAATCAGAATAATGCTTGAATGAAATATGTAATTTAAGATTCTGTAGTTTTCTTTATTTCTAGATATAAATAAAAAACAAAGTTATTTAATAGTTATTAATGATACAAGTTCGATATGAACATCATAATTAAACGCGTGTAACGTTAAACCACGAGGCGTTAGCCGAGTGGTTTAGTTACACAAGTTTCATTAATAAAGTTCATATCGAACGTGTATCATTCAAAATTTAATCTACAATGATCCAAATATATTTTATTTGCGTTGAAATAGCAAAAACTTTTCAAATTAAAATGCAAAATTTAGCAGGTGCCTTTACTAGTCGGGAACCTGCTTGTTGATTTTTAGAATTTTGACTTTGGCAGCTTCAATATTGGAGTCAATTTTTGTGCCATAAATTGAGTTTTATAGTGGAAAATAACGTTAATATTGGTGATTCTGAGTTCGAAAGTGTCCCTTCGAATATCGAGACAGCATCAATGAAATGGTTCTTCTGGTAGCTAGCTTTCTTTTTGCATATTTTTCATTTCATAATTTGTGTGTTTTTATGAATTCTTAAACGCACTAGTGCTATTATGAAGGACCTAATGACATTCAAATGACAATGCTAAATGTGTCATAATGACACCGACGTAGATTAAATATATATATTTTATTGGACATAAATAATACGTAACAATTTTTTTTTATTAATATACAATAACTATAATATTGATAATATAATATTCATAATATAAAAATTGTTTACATAGGAGAAGGATATATTTAAAGATATGTACGTACAGAGGAAATTATGAAACTGAGTAGTGACCCCAAAGAAGCTACAGGATTTAAAGCTATTATTGTTTGTTCAACGCTGTATACCTCATGTAATTTTGAGTGGATATAACAAACACCCTCCTGAGTTTTTTTTTTCTACAAATTTTTGATACAGTTGAAATAATCCTCGCAATTTATTTTGGTTTTGACTATATTAGACTCTAGCTCGTAAATCAGAATCAGTATATGAAAGTTCACATTTTTCAACTGGAAATTTCGTTAGCATGTAATCATATACAGCAGTTTATCGAAGATAATACGGGACTTTTTAGGTTCAATAGCCATAAGAGTATCGCTAAAAATAAACCTGCTTTTGAAATTTGGATTGGAAATAAGATTCTTTGCTCTATATCTCCCCTCCCGTTTATTCACAAGTTTTACTATTCTGTTTTTCTAACGTTTTGTATTGTTTTTCCAAAGACTGCATTAATCATCAGTTAAAATAACGTTTTCCCAAATTCTGTCACCGCTTAAGCTCTCAATGATGTGTTCATGTCGATGTAGGGCTTCAGTCATTGAAACTGCAAACTGCTTGAACTCTAAGAATTTTGTAAGGCTTTTTTGAGATTTTTGTAGTGTATTATGTAATTCCGTTTGTTATAACTAGTGGTCATTTATTTTGAAAATTTAGAATTTGGCGACTTTCATGTTCTGGACAGAGAGGTAAGTCTTTATGTAAATCATGTAACGTTTCGAGGTACTTGAGATCATTTTCTAATATAGAGCTGATATCAGCATCATCAGGCACAGTGGTGACATCTATGTTACAATCCACCAACTTGGAAAATCCATATGGTAAATACTGACCGATTTCTCATTCATATAAGTTATTAATATCAGAATAAGAGATATACGTGGATGGTTTATTAGGATCATATTCCTTCATTTATTTTTTGTTGACGTCAGAGAACCAATTACAACATTGACTTACACCACCTCTGACACCATGCTCTATAAACATTAAAGGGTCTACATCTTGAACAGTTTCTAGCCTACACCTTGTATACTTTAGCATGCAATCCCAAGTATAACCAGGAAGAGTGTGCGGGATATTGACTGTATATCTCGTGACACGTGTTGTGGAAAGTTTCGAAAACACAAGTTAATAACATGATATCGGTTTTCATATACAAATCACTATAATCACCCAAAGTTTTAGTATTAAATTTATTCCATACAAGTTTTGCATGTTCATTATCAGCGAGTTCTATGCCTTTATCGTTAAGTTTACTGTAAACGGGTTCTATATTAGGTAGTTCAGTTTCCTCTAACCTTTCTATATTGTTTATATAATCATAAAAGAATACATCCTTTCGTGCTACCAATTTGAATATTTCCTCATCTAAATCAGAAAATTCGTTTCAAAAATTTTCGAAAGTTCCTGCAGTTGCTGGCGTTATTTGAGTTAGAAGCTAGAGCGTCTAATGAGAAACCCATGAAATGTAAAGAATCTATAAATCGGAATTTTAAATTGGTTGCATTATCGAAAAATGTGAAATTAATGTATTTTTCCATGTTTTCAGGTAATAAAGTAATGTGAAAATATTTCGCCAAGTCCATTATTGCAAAATGGACATAGTAGCCTCCCAAATTATGAAATACTCTAGGAATTGCAAAATATTTTTCATAGTTCAAATTACAGTCACGGTGAGCAAAACCTCTGAAATCTCCAATGAGGTAACAGTGATCTCTAACGATTTTATCAGTTTACTTGAATTTTGTTTCGCAAATGTGACAAGTCCTGGTAGAACTAACTTCTATGTTTATTGGTGTTACGTTTATTAATTTAGAATTGACACATTGCGCAACATTTTGCAATTCCTCGGCGAACCAAGACATACAATCTAAGCCTCTCTTACTCTTATAGCAAAAAAATCGTTGTTATAATTACACTTGAAGTATTACCTAGCACTGTATGCTATATGTTTTTGATATCTACTGGTTTTACAATGACTATTATCATTAAATGGCTCAAGCAACGATTCAAAATCTGCGTAAGTAATAAACAATACCTTTTCCTTGTGAATGAAATTTTTAAATTTAATGTACGGTTCTCGCGAAAACTCTACTTAACATTCATTCATTTTTTCGCAATACTCTACATGATCATTCAACTTGTCTTGTGATTTAGCATAATTTGAACAACTATCACATACAATTTTCTTATGTCCGTTTTTAGAGAGTTGATAATTTAAAAGTCTTGATAAATCTTTAATGAAGCAACAGTGGTTTTTTATTTCCTCACCTTCGTGCTGCCCATCTTTCACCTGAGTTATATTTTCGAATTCATTGATTTTAGAAAAGTATTTATTTTGAATTATGATTAAATTTACATGTTTATCTAGTTTGTGTTTAGTTACTCGACATGGAACTACAGAAAAATAAGATTCCCTCTTAACTTCCAACCCGAATATATGAACTAAAATATATAGAAGTTTAATAATTTAATAAATATTTCAACAGGGAAATTAATTCCCTCTTCGTTCCCTGTTCGTGCTTTGTCGATGGAGTCTTCTTAAATTTTATAGGTAGAAGATGCCCATCTCCCTTAAGGTACGGTTTGTTAGGAGAGTACGAGTCGCACAACTGACAACGTAAACGTCGTCATTGGTTCAGGTATGACGTACACCCGTCTTCTGACGTGAGAAAACGGGTGAACGTCATACCTATGGTCATACCTGAACCAATGACTACGTTTACGTTGTCAGTTGTACGACGCGTACTCTCCTAACAAACCGTACCTTTATACGTCATCGTTTGGCGCGTTTCAAGGATTCTGGATTTTTCTACATTGGAAGTGCTTGTAAAAAACTCATTTATGCTCGTAGATATCTTTTTTTTGGCATATATACTTAAAATAATTCCTCATTTAGGATTTCATGCTAAAATTACGTATTCAAATTTTAGGGAAAGAACCTAATGTGCATTTGACCAATTTTTTAACATGAACAATCGCATTTCTTACGTACATATTGTTTGTGGTAGGTCTAACAAAAAATCGATTTTCATGTTCCAACCCTAACATATGTAAGTTGTCATAAAATAAATTCGTTTCTGCGAACCTACATTTATTTTTCTTGGAAGAAACCGTAATTAATTTAAATATAAATTCAGTTGAA